CATTGTTTCTCATAATTTTCCTCTAGGTTGAAAAAGCTCGTAAAACTGACGATTAAAAGAAGAAAAAGATTTATAAATTTTTGAAAGTTTAAAATATTTGCCCATTTTTAGGCCCACAGATATTTTTAGGCCCACAGATATTATTTTTCAACCAAATATTTTATATTGCGTAAAATTAAAAACATTAAAAATTGAGATTTATTCAATTTTTTTTAAAATTTTTAGAACTAGGTTGAAAAATTTCCCAAAAATTGGATAATTAAAAAAAAATTAAAATATTTGCAACTTTGCTTTGAATTTAAAGCCTTCAAACTCCTGTTTTTTTAAAACTTTTTTTATTTTCCTTGGCGAAAAAGTTTCCAAAAATACCTTTAAACGTAAAACGCAAGTACCAAAATCAAAATTATTGATTCAGAAAATAAATCAATTATTCATTTCTGGGATAAGTTTATAAGCTTTCTGGCAAATTTTATAAAAAAGATCTTCAGAATTCCTGATGCGATACTTTTAAAGATGGTAGTGCTAAACGGAATTCAAATAAAACGCAAGCTTTCAAGCTACTCAGTTAATTTTATTTTCATTTTATTTGCAACTAAAACAAAACAAACCTAATTAAGTTTTCGAATCTGTCTGGTTAAATTTTTTATTTTGGTTTAAATTATAAATAGCTCCATTATCTTAATTTTTTCACTCCATTCATTAAAAACGCATTTGCAATGAATTAAAAGCAGCCGTCCTTATTACTGTTTCAAAACTCATTTAAAGACGACAGATGAAAAATAACTCAAAAACCAATTACTACTTTCAACTCAAAGATTCAACGTAATTTACTTTCACCAGTTTAAATTTAATGAGTTTTTTTCTAATGGAGCTTTTGCTTCTTGGCATCTGCATTCAGAGATTTCGTTCTTATTCACTGAATCTTGACTTAACAGTACCTGAAATGTTTTGTTCTTAGTTTTCTGCGCCAAAAATCTCATCTAATCGTGAAGAGGAGAAAATGCGCGTGTATCTAAATGCTTAACCAGGGTCCACATTCTTTATTAAAGCTTGTATGAAGTCGTTTAAGTATTTTTATTTTTAAACTTTTAATAGTTAAATGTAGTACTTTTTTTAAATTTATAACCATGGGTTACTATTTGAACGAGCATATCAAGAAATTTTTCCAGAAGAATTATTTATTCTAAAAGTAATTTTTAAGAAAATTTAAGAACTGAAAATAAATATTTGAGAAAACTGCTTCTGAGCTTAACGTTTATTAGATGTGGAAAGACCCTAGGGATTGAAAGCTTTAATCAACTTTAGTTTTTAAAGCTTGCTTGAAGTCATTCAAGCTTTTTAATAGTTAAATATATATTTTTTTATTTCTAATCATGAGTTTGTATTCCAACTAGCACGTCGAAAAATGTTTCCAGAGTAATTATTTATTCTGAAAGTAATTTTTGCAATTTTATTTCATACGTTTCTCTTTTATCCTGCATATTTGCCAAGTTTTCAAATTTCACATACGATTTTCTATGTGTCAACATAATTTCCAAGTTTGTTTAAGCACTTATAGTGCAACTAGATTTAGAATATTCTCTTCGCACAAAATTGACGCCTGCTCCGTTAATTTGGAGGCCAAGTATTCATCATCGTTGTAGTGATTGGCGCCAAAATGATGTTTGAAATATAGGTAAAGATGAAAATCACTCAATGCAAGGTCTGGGCTGTAAGGAGGGGTGGTCCAAAACTTCCCAACCAAAAGAGTCTAATAAAGCTGGAATCTCAGCTGCGGAGAGAGACATTGTCATGGAGTTGCAAAATTCTCTGTCAGCATGGCAGGGAATTTTTCTACTTCACAAATCGTAACTTCACAAGTCGGCCAGTGAATGCATGCAGCAAACAGGGTTTTTGCTGACTAAAAACTGATAACAAACCGCTTCTCGTGTGTATTTGTCAAATTTGAACAATTTGTTACAATTAAATATTTATTTGACCAATTAAATTTGAACAATTTGTGGCTGACGATTTCTTAAATTTGAACAATTTAAAGACACAGAACTGACCGTACAGCTTATTTAGACAGCTGCAACAGAGCACAGTTGCTCCCTAGGAATGCCGGGACAAGACACAAGGACGCGGCACCTATTAGTGTACACAACAAAATCGTTCTTACTTAAAAAACAACCCTCTTATTATCATATACGTAAAAAATAAAAATAAAAATCGGGTGTCTTAGAGAAGGTTTGCAATTTAAATTGTATTGAATGTTCGCATTAAAACATAACTGAATATTTGTTTAACAGAAAGCTTATAGTAAAACATAACTAAAGTGAATCTTTTAAAAGTGACGCACTATCTCAACAGTCAGTTTTCGCCTAAGGGAGACATGGAGGTTAAGGCTCTTCAAATTCGAGGTAAACGACATAAATCATCCAAGGCAACATTATAACTAGAACCTATCGATCTAAATTTATGTGGGATTCGAATTGATATTCAGGATAGAACTTCGGTTTAATGAAAGCTCAGGTCCTTAGCCACTGTGACATAAGAAAGTGAATCAGATACTCTGATGTTACATATGATGTGCCAAACGTGGTTAGTTCATGGTATTGTCAAATAAAGTAACCTGAGATTCACTGGTCCAACAAGTCAAATCTTTTGCTTAAGAATGCTTTACAACTTAAGCAAAATAATGACAAAAGAATGAGGGTTTATTTGCCATTAAAGTTAACTCTTTTAAAAATATTATCCTTTTCGGATCTACGAAAGAGAGTTTGTAGACTTTGTATATTCGGTAACATTAGGTCTCTAAAATTTATATCTATTGTTTAGTCATACCTTTAAAATGTGAGCTGTGATTGGTCAGGGGATGGCGCCTTCCAATGAGGTGAACCGGGTTCGAATTCCAGCATCGACTGGTCGATACGAATTCTGCATCCGACTTGCACTGACTACAGTGCTGACTTGAAATATTCTTAGTATTAGAAAAATCATGGGTTAAAGTCCCCATGCCATTAGGATAACCATGGAAGGTTTTCATAGTTTTGCTCTCTATGTAACGCAAATGCGGGTTAGTTCCATCAAAAAGTCCTTCACGAAGGTAAATTTCACCCAATACTTGATCCTTGTTCCCTTTTTTCCTGGATTGGATTCAAAATTACAATTCTACAGAGTTGAACATTAGTAGTTGCAAACCTGCCTTTTTGAATCTTCTTTTTTTTTTTTACTGAGAGGTCACGTGCGTGTACGTAGAGTCTACAATATTCTCCGGATGACCCCTGACGGGGACGGGACGGGATTAAGCTTTGACTCCCAATTTGATTAGCAGTCGTAAACCCAAAGCTGGGTCAGCTGTTCAACGATGGTGATAAATAAAATATAATTTGCGGAGTTAAGCATTAGCAGTCGTAAACCCAAAGCTGGGTCAGCTGTTCAACGATGGTTATAAATAAAATATAACTTGTGGAGTTAAACATTAGTAGTCGTAAACCCAAGGCTGGGGTAGCTGTTCAACGATGGTTATAAATAAAATATAATTTGTGCAGTTAAACATTAGCAGTCGTAAACCCAAAGCTGGGTCAGCTGTTCAACGATGGGTATAAATAAAATATAATTCGAGAAGTTGAACATTAGAAGTCGTAAACTCAAAATGGTGTAAATATTTTTATAGTGTGATATGTCTTGAATCGATATTGATCACAATACGTCATTTTGAAACTCAAGCGTTGGAGTAGAAACTAAATTTTTTTCAGAAAATATTTAAAAAATTCGGTCCTTTTTTTACTATTCACTATTTATTTTTACATCAAATGAAATTTCCTGCATTTTTTTAAAATCAAATATAATTGTATAAATTTCAAATAGTTTAAGTCATATAAATTAGATACTATTTTTTAAATTTCAGGACATCATTACTGTATAAGAACTTAAGGAGCTTCTTGCAAATAAACAGTGAAAAGTACTTTCTGCGTCTTATTTTTGCTATTTTTCGTGATTCTTTTCTTTGGAACAGTGTAGCGAAGTAAATAAACTGATTTGATATTTTAACTATTCGCACTTATGTTTTTTATTTGTTAAACTCTAGGTTTATTCATTTAACAGCAATGAGTTGAATAAAATATGATTGTTTTAAAATATAACTTATCTGTCTTGAATGTCCATTTTTCCATTTTTTAATTTAAAAATGAAATTTTTTTTGCAAGAAAAGTAACTAGGACACATGTATTTTCAAATGACATTTTAATAAAACAGAATTTTTGAAAAATACAAGTAGAGATAAATATGGAAATACAAAAGCAAATTATGTTGACAACTGAACACAACAGAGCAAACACACATAGACGCAACCGACATTTTAAAACAACCACAATCCACACCTTAAAACCGCAAAATTTTCACTTTGTACCCATACACAAACAGCTAGTGATGAAAAAAAAACAAAGTAAGAAGAAACCACCAATAAAAAATGTTTATTAATTTCAAAATTATAATCACTTTTATTTATAGAATATAAAAACACTCTTAGTCATAAAATTCATAAATATGTTTTTTAAGAAAAATGAAACTAAATAAGTCATACAAGTGAACTGATCACCATATCTAAAAATAATTTCTTTTATGAAGGATTTTAGAAAGTTTCTTTTTCTGAAAAAAGCTGTTTTATCCAAGTATATTTTAAAATACGCATGCCGATAATTTGCCAAATTTTCCGAAATTAATTTTACATTCCTAACTAAGTAATTTTATTAACATATAATCATCTCACATGTCCCAAATGAAAGTAGCTAAAGAGGATTAAATAAGAAAATTATGAACAGAATTAAAACACTTTTTGTCAGAAAATTTATAAATATGTTTTTTAAAGAAAAGGAAAACAAATAAGACGAACAAGTGAATTGATCACCATATTTAAAAATATTTTTTATGAAGGATTTTAGAAAGTTTCCTTTCCTTAAAAAAGCTGTTTTATCCAAATATATTTTAAAATATGCAAACAGATAATTTAAATTTTTTTTTCTAAATTAATTTTACATTCCAATCTTATTAATTTTATTAGCATATAATCATCTCACATTATCTAAATGAAAGTAGCTAAAGAGGATTAAATAAGAGGAATATGAATAACGATATTAATTAAATATGCAAATATTGTACACATCAGAGAATACTTTTTCCTGATTCACTGCGACTGATTTCTGCGAATAGACTGGATGAGTCACCACTAATTCCTCCCATGTCACCATGTCTACCCATTCGTAATCCTATTCCACTATTTCCCCGAATTCCATCTTCCAGACCACCATATTCATCTATTCCAGTGCCACCATGCTCTCTTATTCTATAAACGTTTCCTCCATATCCTCGAGCTCCAGCTAGAAAAATATAAGTAAATAATTTATTGATTGATAATTTCCTATGATCAGTAACTATATAAATAAAACCTGATAAAAATTTTCTTTGAAACTCCTTTTCTGAAAAATTTCTTTAAAATTTTTTTATATATCAAAATTTGTAAAAAAAAAAAACTTTGCTTACACTTATATATTTGCTTTAAGAATTTTCACGAATTAAAAGTGCTATTGAATAGTTCATTTCACAATATTCTTTCATTCAGACTCAACAAATTTCTAATGAAAATTAGAAAGCGATAGTCACAGAATCGTTTGTTATTAAAAATGTTTCATTTATTGTTTCACTTCAAATAATCCTTCTTATTTGTTTCATCTTTTGTGGATTTTAGATCAGATATTACTTTTTACTTCAATTATTTTTATTTATTTACTTATTTTATATAACATTTCACCCACGTTAGCTTATGTATTAGTAATAAGATTTTAATTTGCGTTTTTGGAATAAGAATTATTCAGATGAGAGTAGTAATATTTTATCATATGTAGATTAATTATGTGACTTGGATTCCTTTTTATATGTTTTTCCTCGATGTCTGCCACGAATTTAATGTTATTCAAATGGTTTGTCAATATTTAAATATATATGCCAGGTGATCTAAATAAAAGTAGCTAAAAGCTAAAAATAGGTAGATTAAAAAAGAATATTATGAATAAAAATGTTAATTAAATGTGCAGACATTGTGCATCAGTGAATACTTTTTTCTGATCCACTGCGACTCATTCCTGTGAATAGACTGGATGAGCCGTCTCCAACCACTCCCATGTTACCATGCTGATCCATTCCGCTTCCCCTAATTCCACCTCCTAGACCACTATATTCCACCAGTTTACTGATTCCAAGTCCTCTCAGTTCACCAACAATTCCTCCCTGATCTCTGGATCCAGCTGAAAAAATAAAAGTCAATGACTTGTTGATGGAAAATTTCACAAAGTCAGTAAATAATAAACCTGATAAAAATTCATCTGAAACCCCAATAAATATTTTAATCAATTCATGAACTTTTTTTAATCGGCAACATTTATAAATTCTTGTATGATTTATTGTAAGAAATTCTAAATGAACAAATAATTAAAATTTAGAAATAATTGAAATTTAGAAATAATTAAATGATAAAGAAATTGAAAAGGACGACTGATGAAAACATCTATATTATCAAATGATTTAACATTTCCAATAATTAAGAAATTTACATTTTCAAATGATTATTAAACTTAAACTAAGGAAATTTTTCCCCACAGTAACTTTGTGTAAAAAATTACTTAAATTTTAATTTATGAAACAGTTCTTCAGCTCCAAAAATTATTCAAAGTAAGAAAGAACTACATTTGCAGGAATATTTAATTATTTTTTGGAAGTACATTAAAACTGGGAATGCGGAGAAAAAAAGATTTATTTTCCAATGGAAATATTTATAACATTGATTATAAAAAAACGTAACTTTACTTGTTAAAGAAAGCATTCTCTATTTTTGTCTTCTTTTCTTTTAACTTTTATTTTTCTTTTTTTAAAAAAAAGGTTTTATTTTCCTACGAAATTTTTATTGCATTGATGATGAGGAAATGTTTTTTTTAATTCTGTTTCTCTCAGAATGCGATCTCTATTTTTGAACTTTAATTTGCTTTCACATAATTTTTTTTTTAAATATATTAACATCTATGAAATAAATCTTGTTTATGCATATCTACATACTTTCAAATTTTTCTCTAAAAGTACTCATTTTACGAACAGTATCTATATGAATCTTCTTCCATTCACACTCAACAAATTTTGTGAGAAAATATAGACAGGTTAGTTACAGAATCGATTGTTATTCAAATTTTTACGTTAATCCTTATTTTCTTAACCATTTTTGCATTTTTAATTCAGATATTAATTTAGAGATTACATTTCGAGCTTACATTTCGAGCACGTTTGCTATTGCGTTCGACGTCTTATTTTAGCTTTTTTTTTTGGAATTGGAATACATGAGATGAGATTAAGAATTTTATACCAATTGCGGATAGAGGATGCGACTTGGATTTATTTTTTGAAATATTTTCTCGACATGTGTCACTACATTCGTGATGTTGAAATAGTTTGCCAAAATTTAAATATGCATGTCACGCAACCTAAACTAAAAATGAGAGGATTATGAATAACCATATTAATTAAACGTGCAGATATTGTATATCAGTGAATACTTTTTTCTGATCCAGTGAGACTAATTCCTGCGGATAGACTGGATGACCCACCGTCTGCTATCCCGTGTCCATCACTCATTCCTTCTCCGATTCCACCATAGCTTCCCATTCCACTTCTCAGATCACCCATTTCACCATACCCTCTCATTTCACCAACATTTCCACTCTGATCTGCTGATCCAGCTAGAAAAATAAAATTCCGAGCCTTACTGATGGAAAATTTCACAAGATCAGCAATAATACACTGTTGTAAGAAATTAAGAGAATTTGCAGACTGGGTCGATTATCTCTATAACTACTGGGTTGATTTTAATGAAATTTGATATGTATACATACATTGATACAATGCAAAACAAACCATTCAACAATTGTAATAAACACGCATGATCGCGCGTTTCCCTCGTTGGAGTTGGAAGGTATGAAACAGCGGTTTAAGAATAAAAAAATAAAAAAAAAGGATTACAGATATACAAGCCTTGCTGCGTGATTTCATACTTGAAATAAGGCAGTTTATTATTATCTGTGGAATTTGGCTTGAATTGTCCTGTGGCAATTTCATACCTTCCAAACCCAACGAGTGTTATGCACGATGACGTGTGTGCATTACAATTGTTGAATGGCTATTTGTTTTGTATTCTATCAATGTATGTAGATATCAAATTTCTTTAAAATGGGTCTAGAGATAATCAACCAAGTCTGCAAGTTCTCTTAATTTCTTACACCTGTGTATAAATATATAATTAAACCTGATTAAAAATTTCACTGAAATTCAATTAAATATTTCATTTGATTCAAATTTAATTAAGTATCTCTAATCGACAACATGAGTAAATTCTTGTATTTATAGTAAAAAAAATTGAAATAACTAAAATTTTAAAATTATTAAATGAAAAAATGTTGAAAGGATCAGCTGATGAATATATTTAAAGTGCGGAATAATTAAACATTTTTGACAACTAAAAAATGTGAGTTTTCAAATGATTAGCTGAAACCTATTAAACAATTAATTAAAGGAACTACCAACTAGACGAAATCACTAATAAGCCAAAATAGGGATCTTAAGGATTTTTTCCGTTAGAAACTTAGTGTATAAAATTGTTTAAATTTAAATTAATGATACAGCTGTTTAGCTTCAAAAATTATTTTATGTAAAAAATTACTATATTTGGAGAGAAAATTAATATTTTTTGGAAGTATATTAAAACCGAGAATGTAGAAAAAAAAGGTTTTCTTTTCCAACCGATATATTTATAGCACTGATTATGAAGAAACGTGTTTCAATTCTATTTGTGTCAGAAAGAATTCTCAATTTTTGTATCTTCATTTCCTTTTACATAAAAATTTGTTTACAGACTAAAGTTTGAAGAAAAACTTGCTTACCCATACCCACTTCTTTTAAAATGTTTCACTAATTAAAAGTGCTATAGAATAGTTCATTCTTTAAACAGTTCCAAAATGAATCGTCTTTTATTCAGTTTCAAAAAAATTTTGAGTGAATATTAGAAAGAGTATTTTTGCAGAATCGTTTGTAATTAAAATAGTTACGTTTATTTATTTGTTTTACTTTAAACAACCCCTCTTATTTTCTTTACATTTTCTGCCTTTTAAATAAGATATTAATTTTTAATCCTCTCATTTTTTTTATTTATTCATTTTTAACGTTTTGTGCACTTTTGTCAATTTGTTTGTCGTGTGATTTCAATTTTCCTTTTTTTGTGGACTTTCTTACGATGACCAGGAAAGTAATAACATTTTACAAAATGTGAATAAATTGCGTGATTTGTGTGTTCATTTTTATATGTTTTTGCACGATGTCTGATTCTACTTTCGTGATTTTCATATAATTGCCAATATTTAAATATGTATACCACATAACTATATTAAAGTAGCTAAAAATTAAAAATAAAAAGATTGAATAAGAGGATTATGAATAACGATCTTAATTAAATGTGCAGATAAGTGAATACTTTTTCCTAATCCACTGAGACTGATTCCTGCTGGTAGACTGAATGAGTCACCAACAACTCCTCCTATGCCACCATGTCCACCCAGTCCTTCACCGATTCCACCATATACTCCAATTTCACCTCCTAGATCACCACTTCCCCTTCCCCCATGTTGTCTCAGTTCACCTACGTTTCCTTCATAAGTAAAAGATTCAGCTGGAATAATAAAAGTAAATGGCTTATTGATGAACAATTTTGCATAATCAATTATTATATAAATAAAACCTGATGCAAATTTTCTCTGAAACTAAATAAAATATTTTAATTGATTCATTAAGGGTTTCTATCTGACAACATGTTTAAATTCTTGATGAACAATTTACTTACTGTAAGTCTAAGAATAATTAACTACGAGTATTGTTAAAAAGTAACGATCTTATAAACAAAATTTCACCCATAAACATCCCCTTAAGGCAATTGTTTCACTATGCAATAACTTTTATTTTTTAAAAAAAAAGTAATTTCTTTCAGCAATCGAAGAAGTTTATTTTATTTCAAGTAATAATAACTTTAGCCAAAACTGACATTTTCATTACCTCGTCTTGAGTAGTTTTCTAGTGTTCCTGATGCTGATGCTGGTTCGGCCACATATTCACATCAGGAAGGATTTCTGGATTACTGTTTGTACCCGGTTCATTGGAAAACTATTTATTGAGAATAAGCAAAATTTTCCCCTTAAACTTTACCTTGATGCAATAACTTCAGTTAGTATTTAACTGTTATATCTAATAAACTATAATAAAATAATTCAGAAGCCAAAATTTTTAAATAAAATAAGTGCTTTTAGCAATTGAAAAGTTTTAATTTTGCTTTAAATAATAATAATTTCAACCAAAATCGCCATTTGTATTACCTCGTCTAGTGTATTTTTCTCGTATTCCTGCGGGTGCTGGTTCGGCCATCATTCTCACATCAGCTGGACTTTCTGGTTTACTGTCTGTACCTGGTTCATTGGTCTTCACTGAAGCTCGGAATCCATCTGCGCCGGCCGTGTACTGTACTTGTCTGTACAATCCTTGAGCATCAGTGTATCCATAGGATCCTTGAACATTCCCGCTTGAATCTCCCTGTTCAGTTCTAAAACTGTTTGCACCCATGCCATTGGCTTGGTAGTTGAAGCTGTATGGTTTAGGCTTAGACTAATAACACCAAAAAATTAATGCTACAGACATATCTCTTGACATCAAATTAGATTTCGAATCATTTTATAATTATTTTACCATTTCTCCTCCATATCCATAACTTCCTGCTTTTCCTCTGTAACCTCCCGTTCCGCTCATGCCTCCTTCATAATCACTCATACTTCCTCCAGATTCTCCCATACTTCCACTAAAGCATTCAGATCCAGTTGGGCTGATTACATAGCTATTTACTGCACAAAATAAGCCAATGGCAACGCTGACGATCTGAAAGAGTTAAATTTTTAAGTTAAATACCAAATTTTCATAATCACAAAGCAATCCATTTTTTTTATCCATCGTTGAACAGTCGACCCAATTTTGAGTTCACGTCTACCGATGTTCAATTCCGTCTAGAAATTTTATCCTTATCCAGAAAACGAGTGAATTCCTAGATCAGGTATAGGGGGAAATTAGCTTTCGTAGAGAACTTTTAGGTTTAACTATACTACATTTGCGTTTCATAGAGAAAAAACTATGAAAATATCCCATGGTTAGCCTGACGGTAAGAGAACTCTAACCCACAATCCGTCTATCATTGAGAATACTTTACGTTAGTACTGTAGATTATGCTAGCCGGGTGCAGAATTCGCTTCGACTAGCCATCGTCGGGATTCAAACCTGGTTCATTTGATTCGGAGGCGAGTGCTCTTTCACCTGAGTCACCACGGCTTAACTCAAAACCTCTCATTTAAATGATTTTGACAAAAAAAAATTACTCGTTGCAAAACTTTTATTATTTTTATTTTCTTTAATTTATAAAAAAATAATGTTGACATGCCTCATGATACCTCTGTTGATACCATTGATAGTGATGATAGGTACCGCTAAAAAGTAGGTACTGTTGTTAATTTTTGTCGCATCAAAAATACACGTTGCATAAAATTAAAGGAAAAGTGGTAGATACTGAAATGTTTTCTTAAAATATACAAGGCATTGCAACGTTATTAAAAAAAATAACAATAATAATTTCTTTTAAAATTAATTTCTCTTCTGATTTTGGGCAATAAGTAGAAAGTATGGTAAAAACTACTAGAATATACTACATTTTATGGGGTTTTTGGCTCCATGGAAATACTAAAAAGCTTGGTAATTTTTAGCGAAGTGCTTCGGTTTTTGGTACAATTAACAAAATATTGTTTTAATTTAAAATTATAATTTGGTAAATGGTGTAAAATTGTATAATTTTGTCATAATAACTTAGTTCATGGCATAAAAATAATTTATTCGGTTAAATTTATTTTTCAGTTTTATACATTTTATTAAAAGTGTGGTAATAACTTCAATATTTTTGAACGAGCTTAAAAATTTCCAACTAAATGATAAAAATACTGTTATACTTCGGTTTCATTAATCAGAATTAAGGTTATTTAACCGGGAATCTAATTAATGCAAACATTATTTTAAGTAGCCAAAGGGTAGAAATCAGGCTCAAAAACGTACGTAAATAATCATACATCTTTTTTTAAAGATTTGGATTTTTAACACCCGAAATGAGAGGGTAGCCGTAATCTGAGAAATATGATCCTAATAGTTTTGTCAGGAGAACAGTCCAAAATTTGGACACCTTAATATTAATTTTACTTTTTGCATGTTTTGCCATATCTCGAGATATTTTTTAAAGGGAATTTAAGGATTTTTGCTTTTAATTATAAAGTTAATTTATTCGAAGATAATTCCATGCAAAAATTAGCGTTTAATACATATTTATTATTTTATTTATTAATAGTCTGAACACTTTTGAATTATAAGGTAGACAATTTTTTACATCATTTTGAAGAATGTAGTTTTACATAGCAAAATTTAGAATGCTAGCAGAATTGGTAGGATAGTTCATAAGAAATCGATATTTAAAAAAGTTGGAGATTTGAAATTAGATTTCTTAAGAGCTTCTTGTCGCATTTCATTCCAATTTGATATTTAGACACACAAAACTACATTCAATAGAATGATTGAAAAATTTGTATACCTTACAATTAAAATTTTTGTTCGTCTTTTATGAAAAAATAAATAAAAATAATAAATTAATCTTAAAAATCATTATTTCCAATTATTTAGAAAACCTGAACATCTTTATTAAATTCTTTATCAAAAACTTTATTTCCTCTCTAATTGTTAAAATTGAGTTTTAGAACGTAAAGCTCTGATCATTAGATAGTTTTTTGAGAAATAAACATATCTTAAAGACTTCAACATTTAAGTCAAATGAACTTATTTATGAATATATGATGTTTCCTATATTTATAACAGACGTTTGGAGAACATGCTTTAACGTTTTAAATATTTAAATTAAATTAAAATATTTATGAATACATCATTAACAGTCGCGTGATGAACAGATTTTAGTTGCATCCTTATTTCTCACCATGAAACAAAAATAAAATTGTTTCATACTGTTATCTGACTAATTTATCACATGATTAATACATTTTATTAAATAGTCTGACGCAGTTTTCCACTGTTGTTCATACAGTCTAATTGGCCGGAGTTTTACACGGTAGAGTCCAGCTATCCACATTTGTTTGGTTTTCATCAGCATTGAATTAATAACAGTCATTAAGATATTGTTTTAGGGATATAAAATACTTCTGCATCCCTAGTTTAAAGGCTGTAATATTTATTCATCTTACTGTATTATTACGTTTTTGCCTTTTATTGTTTTCTAAATCGAGAGCTTAAAACAAAAAGAGTTGTTTCGTTATTATTACGTAGTTCTATGAAATTACGTCATTACGGTACCATTTTAAGATAAACTTATTTGAATTGGTGTCTTAAGCTTATTAACTACTTTACAATTAGTATTTATGATGCAAATTACCATACAGGTAAAACGATTTATTAAATGATTAAGATCTTAACGATCAGCTTCATGCACATTGTGGTTGCATGCAAAAATTGTGCTTAATTTGTCAGCCTGTTTACTGTGCGAAAATATTAATTTACGGTAGAGAACTCATTAATTATTGTTATAACAATATACCTTTAATTTTAAAAATTGCTAAAATTTATAATTCTGGTAATTAATTGTGGTATTTGTAATATCACACTGTTGAAAGTGTCTCTTTAAAATTATTGTAAAATAACCAGCTGTATATGATTTATTAAACCAAATTTATAATCATTTAAATTAGGTTTAATGAATTAAATTTATTCATCCTGTTAATTATGCTTGATTGGGGTAATTTTCTTACACATTGTTAGAATTTTCATGTGCAGGGATAGCCTGGTCGGTAGGGTGCTCTGCCCATGTCCGAGAGTTCGTGGGTTCGAACCCCGCCGGTCGAAGGCTCCCCGTTTAGTAAATGGTGACTGTTGCACATTGAATCTGTCGAGTCGCAAAGTCCTCCATGTTCCCATAACAAATCAAACCTCTGGGGGTACTGGATTGGAGATCGATCGTTCTCTGATTCGGGTCAAAATTACGATCTGTAGATGAATGATTGGATGTATGAATGGGTTCACCCTATAAACGGGCAGTGACGTGTGTGTGGCCGAAGTCGAATTCTTGGCCATAGATGGCGCCACTGGAAAACAAGAAACGCACCCTCTGCCTTAAATTTGCTCGGTACCACCATTAATATATAGTATATATAGAGGAGAAGGTGTAAAAAGGGGCACAGGTGTAAATATGGGCACCCCTCCCTAGTGTCTATGGGAGATACTGAAGACTAGCGGCGGGGGCTGTAGATGGCGCTATTTGCTAATATAAGATAGTATAGAACAGTTTGAACCATTCTTTCAAGTAGTGTGGATACAGCGTGAGTTATTCTTCAAATTGGTGTTTATTCTGGACTGCAAATTTTTGAGAGGCATGTGAAATCGTTTTCTTTTCATGTATTTATGTTTAGTTAAAAATAATATCACAGTGATATCCGGAAAGCGGAGATTTAAAGCAACTTTTTGAAGCACACCTTCAGTCATGCATGCTTTTAGGCTGCATGTGATAGCGGCTATCTTTCTTAAGTGGGATTGGTGTAAATATGGGCCCCCATTTAATGGGTTCTCATAATTACACCACTTCTTTTTAAACAACAAAAAAATTTTCAGTAAATTTTTACGGAAAAACAGCAAGACCCAGAACAAACATGACCCAAGCTCTAATGAGAGGATGGTGCAATTCAGTACATCAATCAGGTGGAGTACATCAATCAGGATGAGTTCAAAACAATTTGTTTTCCGAATGTTTCACTCACTTCATTGAGAAAACATGTCCTACTGAACTAAGGACTGTTCTACTCATCTTAGATGGTCATTATAGCCAAGTTCGAAATCCAGATGTCATTGACTTGTCCAGAGATAACCATGTGAAAATCCTTTAGAAGAGAACCACTATTCGTGGACGCAAAGCAGCAAGGTCCAGCCTCATCACCGGATCACCATACAAGGATCAGTTGACCAAGTCGCTTGACAAAAGTGCTCTCAAGAAGACGTCCTTAAGTTTTTCCGGGGTAAGAGACCGGCCAGGCGGCAGGAGTGGGAAGAAGAAAGGCCTTCAAAAAAGGAAATGCAACGATACGATTCATNAAGCTGCAGTAACTAGTTTCACAATCCGCTCCACTGCTTGTGTGTGTGAAGGAAATTTAATTAAGTTCCAGCAGTCCATTGGCATACCGTTCTTTATCATCTTCAGAAGTTCTTTAGAACTGATCTCTCTGAGAACGGGAGGTGATGTCACATAACAAGCTTGCCAGTCAATGAGATCTACATAGTCTGCTGCTTCAAAGTTAAGAGCAGGAATAACGAATCTGCGAACATAATTTCCTTCTGGGCTAACTTCCTTTGCCTCAATAATCCACCGAACTGCAAGGGTCCTACTATGGCATCTCTCATCCGTTAACATGACCAAAAGAATGTTTTCTGGAGCTGCAAAGTAAGCGTTGCGAGAAATAATGGTTTCGATTACGTCACGATACTTTTCAGACATGTAGCGAGAGGAACTGAGGAAATGCCACAGGTGTCTAGTACCGTCTTTTATGGAATGATGAATCTTTATTTGGAACCATGAGGGTGTGTAGACTCTTAGAATGAATGCAACTAAAGTTAGCAACTTGTTTGATGGGTCTAATGTATATATATATATATATCAATAGATATGTAGATATACCTCATATAGATATACCTTATACCTTATGTAGATATACCTCAGTATTCGATTAGCAGTTGTTAGCCAGTGAGCCAAATTCAATGTTCCTGGTTAGCTAGATCTGAACATCAAACGCCAGAACTAATGGCGGTGCAAATGTTTAAAGTATTTCTGATCTGAACTGAGAGTGGTGGGATCAATATCTGCCATCTCGCATTCAATGCTATTAAAAGCAACAATTGAAAGATTTTCGCATCCTTTGAGGTTCCGTCCAATGTCTCCGGTGTAAGATGTGGGGCCAGATGACTTGCCGTCAATGGACTCAAATAGGTGTCGTAATGGCAACTCATTGAAATGAAGTAAACAGATAATCCATTGTACTGGTCTGTGAAGTTTCAATTCAAGCCTGCGAATTACACCATTAAACACTTCTGTGTTCACTACAGTGCCGTCACACCCGAGAACAAAAAGGTTACTAAAATCATCCAATAAATCACCTGTTACATATTCGTAAATGCTATTAGATATATGAAGACTAGATCCACTTACAGGCGTAACATGTCCCATGTACGTAGAATCAGGCTCTGATAGAATACAGTAATGAGCTTTTACAATTGATCTTTGGAACTGCTTGCCCTCGTGTGTTTCTGATGTTAAAGTTTTGTCATGTTGTCCATCAAAATAAAAGCCATATATATAGTGGAACAATTTTCATTTGATTTTGAGACAATTTCTTCGTAAATTCTCGATTTTTCCCTCCACATTTTATTTTTGTCCCTAACGAGGCTGGTATCTGATTCCGATATTAAACCCAAATCTTTCACAACACTCCATGCTATGGCAGCCGTGGCTTTGTTGGATACTGACAAGAACTGTCAAAATAGGGTTCGAAATAAGGTTCAAAATAAGGTTGTTATACTTTTTTTGGCAGAGAGCCAAATCCAGTCTGTCTCGATTGTGCAAGCAGTAAACAGTTATACAGAAAAGTACCAAAATGCGTCGAAATTTTCAAAATTAGATGGCGATGAGGCGGCAGAAGATATTAATCTGTAATTCTAAAATTTTTTATAGTTGTTGTTTTTTAAATATTGTAACTTTTAAGTGCTACCTCAAACCGATCAAAGAAATCTGTGGTTATGTATTATTTTTTGTAATTTAATCATTTTTAGTCCAATTTTTGGAGCTTTAGGCCCATTGAGGCAACAGAAGATATCAACCCAGAGTTTTAAGATTCCGCTCATTTTTTAATAATAGGAATTCACATCTTTTCCGCACTACCGCAGAAAGATCTAAGAAATTTCGATTTTTTCGATACGCCCTANTATATATATATAGTGTTTTTATTTCAAAAAAGGGATTTTATGGAGACTTTACTCTCTTTGCTGTGCACCGTAATTTTATCTGTAATTTTCTACGCTGAAGAACAACAATTATTGCGAGGCAATCATGGGAGTCACTAAGTGGAGGTGAACTGAGGGCTTTAGCTTCCTGGTAAATTAAATATACATATGTTTATCTGCACTAGTGATCTTAGTATGATCTAATATACTTAGATGTTAAAATAATCATAATTCTAGTTTTAATTATACTTTTCCTACTTCTTTATTTAAATTGTTTAATTTCTACATAAGTTTAAAATTTGAGTGGTTGTATGTCATTGTCAATAATAAATGAAATATTTATAAATATTTCAAATTTTTCTTAAATAAATGGCACAATTATTTGAGAAGTTAATAAGAATATTTGTCATATTAAAAAAAATAAAACAAAATTATGGTTAATTAAATAACCAAAAATCCATATAGTTTATTGTCCGGTTTAAAATAAGCATATAAGTAACAAAAATCAATAATTTCAAGCACGCTCTGTGCTTGATATTGTTTTTGTTTGAAATGAAGTTCCTCATATTTAAAGTTTCTTCGTCAAAAATAATATATATTAGTCAGTATTATGACAATAATAATACTTCCTAAAATGCAGATCATCAGTTTTATAAAAATAAAAATCGATAATTAAAAATATGTTTCATTTTCATATACATGTATCATCAAAAAATATTTGTCGTAAAATTAGTTTAATGTAAAATTATGTAATTCTCAAAGGAAAATTGAAATAATATTTATTTTAACAATTGAAAATTAAATTTTTTAAAAACTAAACTTTAGACAAAATGGATATGAAAAATTCATCTCTTACCTGCAACAGCATTTTTCTCTTAATCCTTATAGATGAAACTGGATATTAAAATACAGAAGAATTTGTGCTCTGGTCCTCCAGTTTGTGAAACTTTCGAAATGCATGTGCGCTTTTATACTCTTTTCCAACTAAATGTTGTTAAAGAATAAAGAACACGTGGCAGTTTCAATTTTTGAACTGCAATAAAGCAACGAACTTTTTTTTTCAAAATTACAAGACGCCACAGTTACTTTATTAGAATATATCTCCGAATAATATTAAAAAGAGAGAAAAAAAGGAGCTCATCTTTTTAAAAGTCAAAAAGACAATTTACGTAAGTAGGTGAAGTTATGAAAAACTTGAAATCATTTGTTTATGAATAGTAAAATAGCGTTTTTTTGTGAGCCTTCGTCATACTAATTTCTATGACTGCAATCAAAATTAATAGCAGAAAACAATTGAATCACAACTTCACAAAACATTTAAAACGGAGGTCATCTATTGATTGAATATTTATTAATTTATACTATTCAAAACGAATCATTTTAGTAAATCATATATTTTAAGCTGATTTAAAATCTAAGTTCTTTTGGATATAAACATGACCTCAAAACCTGGAAAAGATCTTTTCGGCCTTAGTAATTATCAATCATGATTTATATTAGAAAATATTGTGTTGAAAATTAGTTTTCTAACCAATGATTATGAATTTAAAACCTTGGAAACTTGAATAATTTTAAGACTTTATTGAAAAGAATTACACTTCTAATTCTGTGTAATTACCTTTCTTTTTTTCTTAAAAAAATAAACACACTTTCATTCTTCAATAAAATAAGTTGTTTTCAGGAAAAACATTATTTAGTAGGAAAATCTATAACCTTTGTGACAACTGGGGATTTTCGGTGTCCATTCACGAAGAAAAACATTCTGGAAAAATTACCGTGTAGAGTAGTAGTGATATTTCCGGAAAAAACCCACATACTCTTGATTAATAAAACCGAAATATACGGTATTTAAACCTATAATGACGAAATTAGGTGTGGTTGGAGCTAGAGGGTATGGTTGACTAATTGAAAATTGTGATGAAAACAAGATAATGAAAGTGACAGTTGAAAAAGAAAACTGGATCATAATTATAATAAAACTTTCATTTAGTATTTGTAGAGCTCGAGATGCAAAATTATATTTTATCCATAATAATAAATAAATAATAATAAATAAATAATAATAAATTTTAATAATAATAAATCTATATATATAAAAGTGAATGTGTGTCTGTCTGTCTGTCCTCTATAGACTCCTAAACCATCCGACAGAAAGCTATNATAAATAAATAATAATAAATTTTAATAATAATAAATAAATAATAAATGTAATAATAAATAATAATAAATTTTAATAATATTATTAGTAAGGATAGGATATGGGAAACAAGTTCCCCAAAACTAATCTAAACAGAAGCCAATATAAAAAGTGATTAAATTGTTCTCAACAGACAGTTAAGAACGTGGGAAGAAATCTTCATGGGAGAGAGTCTTACATTAGTATCGAAATAAAACGTTAGCCGTTGTATTGAAGATTAAGAAAAGGATAAAATATTTTATACTCGCTCTTATAAAATGTAATAAGAATTAAATAATCGGTTTAATTTAATTAAAACTCGGTTAAGAATTATTTAAAAAAATAAGTTCAGGAATTTAAAGAAATTTTCAACGCTAGGAAATATGTAATGCCTATTGTGGCTTCGCAAAACCTTTCATTTTGTTACTTTTCCGTTCATACGGTAACGATGCGTCAGGAATTTTGATTTTCATAATTGTTGTTTTTATTACCACCATTTTGGTAAAATATTCAAAACTGAAAAGTAAATTTAAATGTATAATTGATTTTTATGCATTTCTCTAAGGTATCATGATAAAATGTCCAAACTTTACCACATTTACCAAAGTTTATCAAATATTATCAAACCATATTTTATTGTTAATTTTACCAAAATCATTACCACAGATCATTCAAATCATTACCACAGTTTTTTTTGGTGTTCCCATACAACCAGAAATAAAGTAGATTTTGCAATATTCCTGTAGTTTTGACTATTATTATTCCCTGAGGGTTAAAAACTATGCTGTATAAAGTACAAAGTATTATTTAAGCAAAAATTAAACAGCTTGATTATAAATTTATAATAAATGAAATTACACAGTGAAACTCTGCTAAATATAATAAAACCATATTTTATTGTTAATTTTACCAAAAAATATTAACGAAGCTCTACGGTAAGAAATTGCCGAGCTTTTTGATTTTCCGATAAGAGCAGAAACAAGGTAGGCAACAAGGTAGAATTTTGATCATTTTGAAAATCATTTTTTTCTCAGAGTAGAAAATTATGCTATGTTAAGTACGAAGAATCATTTAAGCAGAAAATAAAAAACTAACGTACGAAATATATGCTTTTTTAAAGCTGTATATTATTTATAAAATCGAATGTATAATCATTAAAAATTGATGCGGTCTGTTATGCTCGATTGGTAAAATTTTCTTACAAAATATTTAAATTCTTTCCAAATATGTATTATTTTATGAGAAAAGGAATTAAATATAAGAAATTGAATGTGTTATTTGATAGGAAATATATTCTAGAAGAAAACTAGATTTTTTAAGTAAACTCCATTAATCAAATATTGAGAATATAAGTTCGGTGTTATTTGTGTTAATTCGTGTCTTTACGATCAGTTCAAAATGGAACTTTTATTTCGATATGTAACTATGCATTAAGTAAGCAGTTTCATTACTTATCTGTCGAGGAATGATATAAACAAAAACAACTTTTCTTTAAAAACATAAATAACAAAACATTAAATAATCAATTTAATGGTTAGTCAGCATTTAAAGGACTGATGTAAACAAAGCAACAACAACAATTTTACACTATAAATAACAAGTGATATACATATCAGTTTCATAGTTCGTAAACACAAACCCTATGAAATGGGCTAGCGTGGACAAAAACAACTTAAACAAATGAGAAGCTGTGTTACGCACATGATACGAAATAAAAATAACTAAATAAATAAATAAAAATGAAACACTTTATTTTTAAATGAAAAACAAAAATGATTAACTTCTAATGATGGATTCTTGCGAACAAAGCATCAAATGGTTATATGATTTTATTTAAAATATAGCAATTAATCGGAAGAAGAGACATTAATGAAAGCGAGACTTGTCTCCCAACATACACCTGATTATTTTGTTTTGTATCTGGTATACGTACACCTGAGTATTTCGTTTCGTTTTTTGATTATTTTTTTCAAATTTGTTTTTTTTATCACTTTAGGTTAAACCACATTTTTCATAAATGAAGCTGGTTTTTTCTCGTGTTTTGTTAGAAGTTTGTGTGCTGAATAACGATTTACAAGCCTTTGTCAAGAAGAAAAACAAGTAACACGATTCAAAGAAAGGAAGATTCTCCCAAAGTGAGATTCGAACCTCCATGCTGCAGAATGTTAAGTGGACGATACCGTTCAGCCAGGAGACCTTTAAAAATATTAAAAAAATAATAATAATAGATAAAAGGAAATCACTGAATAACAGTGTTTACAAGCTAATAGAGGGGAAAAGTCAGAATATATATATTTTTATTTTACTTCACATAGAAATTTTCATTCCTTCCAAATTGATTTACAGACATAAAACGCCCTTTCAAACACAAAACGCACTTTCTCTCAATAAACATATATTTTTTCACACATTTGGATTCCTGACCCACAAAATAGAAGAGGTGGACAAAAGTTGGAAAAAATTGGATCAAAATTTAGGGTTCTGTGAAGTTTCATATATTTGGTGTCGTTCCGAAGTGAGGTTAAGAATTATCGCCATAGAAGAATTAAAAATTTAATATAACCATACTCTAGCCGCGTAATCGACAAGAAAGAAATGCTCCGTTGCTAAGCAACTAAGCTGAGAGAATAAAAAAGAATGAAATAAAAACTGAAGCTATTCTTTATTTTTGTGTTTGCGCCGGTCGAAAAGGCTTTATTTTTAAATAGTTGATAGAGAAATATCTTGAAGTTTCTAGGCAACAGATGTATTTTCAGTTGATTACTGCCCATTTCGTTTTCATTTCCTTTAAAAATATAAGTTGAACCGATTTATAAATTGTAATTTTCCAAGATTTTAGCATTTGAACACACAAACTTTTTATAAGGCATTATATGTATTCAAGTTGCTTTTAATTTCTTTACATATGAAGATTTTATACAAAAACCAAATTTGTAATATTTTAATTACATACAGGGTTGAAGGGCAAATCACGAAAAAGATCCCGTAAAAATTGTAAAATATCTAGAAGAAATTAAAACGCACATTCACAAGGTTTTATAGATAATTTTTTTATTTCTTTATTCATTTACGACGAAGGGTTTTTATTTTACAATTAAAGAAATTAGTGAATGTTACGTGACATTCTAAAAAGATTGAAACATGTATGTTTAGGAATATTGTATGTTTCATTTTTTTAAAAAGTTGTCATTCTACCAAGTATGTGAGTTACGCGGCTTTCTTTAGATAAAGATAATTTGCTAATAACATTCGGATGTTTTTATACATTCTGAAATGGATTTTTGTAAATTCACATTAAAATGTCGCCCAATATGTTCAACAGTTACGATCATCAAATATTGCTATTATAATTTCTTTGTTTTATTTCTTTTATTACAAACCTATTTTATGATTCTTTCCATCATTACATACATATATCTGATTCGATAGTCTCCTGTTAAACAGAATTCGTAACATCCTTTAGAAACTGCAATAGTGGCAGCTAAACTAAGAAGATAAATGTGTTTTATTACGGTTATATTTACCATGGTATTAAATAATAAATTTCAAAATATAAATTCAAAAATCTGGTAACAAAATCTTAAGTAGTGAAATTTTAATATTAAAATTAAAAATAAGGAACGCATGAAACCTGCTGAAATAATAATTTACAGATGTTTACTTCTTTCGGCATAAGATTCTGATCAAAATAACAATCAAGAAATATCCATTATACTTGATGGGAAAAAAAAATCATTGACTTGAAAATATAT